AGCAGCCCAAACTGGGCAAGGAAAGAAGACATTTCCAGAAGACCTAGCTGTGATTCGCTCTCCTACTCCTTTAGACATCACCCTAATCATGGGAAGAAACATATCCATGGCACTAGAGCATCACGTGCATCAGCCCCAAAACTCGGCATTTGGAGCAAAGGGCTATAATTGAAAAGCAGGCACTTCCAAATGGTGGCATCAATTGGGTAGGAAGTGATGTAGGGGAACATGAGCAGGAGACAGGCTATTCTATGCTGTCACTCTTTCAGGATCTAGTGGAGCTCGAGGGCCCAGATCTCCATACCCATCCCAGATTGCCCTACAGCAAGCCTTGAGACACACACAGAACTAAAAGACTGTGGCAGCAGGTCCTGACCACTAGGACTGCTAATTGAACAATCCTGCCACAGCACCACACACATAATTGAATTCTTCTATTAATTGAAGTGGGTAACTCCATAGACCTCAATAGCAGTCTTTTGTGCCTAGTCTGACTCAGGCTAGAAATTGGCCTCTTGCCCTTCTTCATAAGAAAATAAACAAAATGAAATGGAAAACAATGTTGTTTTGACATTTTCAGTCAAACACTCTAATCTTGTTATTTTACAAGAGTATTGTCATCGCTGCAGCATTCAACTCATTCGGCTGTTTGTATCAAGCCGATGAGCAAAACTGAAGTGTCTTGTATTAGCATACAATATTTAAAAAAAACACGCAGTGACAAATTTCTGCTAATCCCTACAGGCCATAGATTCTTATCTAGTGTGTGTGTGTGTGTGTGTGTGAGAGAGAGAGAGAGAGAGCGCGCGCCAGAACCAGAACGGGTTCAGAGAGCCACAAAGAAACAAGATAAGTTCTGTACAACCAGGAGTGCAGATCCCAGTGACAAGGCTGGACACTGTGAGTTCATTAAGGAAGAGCAGTGATAGCTATGTCCTTTGGGTAGGTCATGGGTATTTTTGTTTTGTTTTTATTTATACTATCGGTCCTTATCTGTCAGATTAAAGAACACTAATGAAGTAATCAGGATGGGCTTGTGCCAACAGATTCGGTCAATCTTGAGGCAGCTGCCAAGCAACTCAGTCACTGCTGGCTGCAGCAGTTTGGCTATGGTACAGCCTGTTAAAGAAGACATAGCCATATGTCACTACACAACACATACCATGTGGAGATATTATGCAACTAACCCTCAGGGGTACATTTCCTTTTTTGTTCTAGTTACCCCATGAAGGTAAATAGTTATCTGAATTAACAGCTTCCTGGCTCTTAAGACTAATAGTTTTGTACTGAAGAGGGAATGACATACTAGAGCCACACACCAAATTTATTCATCATTCTACAACCATAATTTTGCCCATGATAAAGAGAGGAAGACTGGTCCAGTGGTTAGGGCTGGGCAGAAATTTAGGATAACAGCATTTTCTGCCTGTGACAGCAAATGCACTTAAGACTGTAAAGTGCTCATATACTGTGGTAATGGTGCCATATAATCACTCAAGGTACATGTATAATGCAAGTTCTTTTGAATTAGAATAGGAATGAATTAAATTCAAATGTAAATTATGTAATCAGTGTTTACACAGAGCGTACAAGTAAGTCAAGTTGTCTTTAAGAAATAGAATTTCCCCTCCTTTGTCTCATAGGGTATGTCTATACTAGTCCCCTAGTTCGAACTAGGGAGGCTAATGTAGGCATTCGAACTTACAAATGAAGCCCGGGATTTAAATATCCCGGGCTTTGTTTGCATGTTCCCGTCCGGTCGCCATTTTTAAATGCCACTAGTCCGGACTAACTGCCCGCGGCTATACGCGACAGTTAAACGGTAATTCGAACTAAGTTCTTAGTTAGAATTACCTTTTACACCTCATTCCAGGAGGAGTAACAAGTAATTCAAACTAAGGACTTAGTTAGAATTACCGTTTAACTGCCGCGTGTAGCCGTGGGAAGTTAGTCCGGACTAGTGGCATTTAAAAATGGCGACCGGACGGGAACATGCAAACAAAGCCCGGGATATTTAAATCCCGGGCTTCATTTGCAAGTTCAAATGCCTACATTAGCCTCCCTAGTTCGAACTAGGGGACTAGTATAGACATACCCTATGAGACAAAGGAGGGGAAATTCTATTTCTTAAAGACAACTTGACTTACTTGTACGCTCTGTGTAAACACTGATTACATAATTTACATTTGAATTTAATTCATTCCTATTCTAATTCAAAAGAACTTGCATTATACATGTACCTTGAGTGATTATATGGCACCATTACCACAGTATATGAGCACTTTACAGTCTTAAGTGCATTTGCTGTCACAGGCAGAAAATGCTGTTATCCTAAATTTCACAAATACAGCAATCTCCTTACACACACACAGTCACGCGCACACACACAATGTAGAACTTAGAAATAAAGCTTATGAAGAAACGGTGCATTTTTAATATGGGAGAAGGTTAATAATGCCCCAAAGATCCATACTATGACCAGTGCTGTTTAATACACTGATGATCAAGAACTGTGCAGATTTTGCTGCCTCACTGCAAAGTGCACAAGATTATCTGGGATTTATGATAGAGAAAAGTGAGAAATTCTAAAGGGCATTCACAAAGCAGGTAAATGAGCACATGATAGCAGATAAAATTCACCATTGACAAATACTATGTGGTACACATCAGAAGGAAAACAGAACTTTTCATATGCACAACTTAGTTATAAATAGGCATTCAGCAAATATATGAGTGTCATTGCAAACAGCTCAGTGAAATCCTTTGCTCAGTGCTCAGCAGCCAGCAGAAAGCTAACAAAGTGCTAGATATACAAAGAATGAAAAAGAAAATTAAAATGAGATTATAATAGCATTATATACCTCGATAGTATGGCCTCATTTTGAGTGCTACTTTCATTCCTGGTCACTTCATCTCAAATTATATAAATGAAAAGCAGAAGGGGTCCAAGAGATAGATAATAAATTATTCAAGGTATGGAGGAAAGTGCTGTCTGTAGAGAGAATGAAAAGGTTGGAAGAATGTTTATTTGGAATGGAGGCATATAGGAAGGAATGTTATGGAGAAGGTAAATGGGCATTCCTAATTAACTCTGTCTTGTAACACCAGAATAAGGGAATAACCAATTAAACAGAAAGATAACACCTGAAACTGATTAAAGGAAACACTTTTGTGAATAAATGTATAACTGACTTATAGAATCATTGCTGAAAGATTCAAGAGTACTAGACACATATGTGATTTAAATGAACTTCCACACTTTTTATTAGTGAGATAAAAATATGTCAGGGGTATAACCTCTTATGCTTCAGGGGAAATACTAATCAAGCACTATGGGCAGATTATTCTTTAACTGTCATTACTGAGATTGCATCTTCCTCTTGTATTTAGTCGTGGCCACTGCTACAGAAAATATATTAATCTAGATGGTCTATGTCAGTCTGTTAATGCCCATATCCCATTGTACAGTTGTAGATATTGATAACTAAAATGTAATTAGCAACAACAAATTATTCAAATTAATAATTTAACCAAGAAATCTTGTCCCATTTATAACATATGAAAGCAGGTATTTTCCTGATTTGACCATGGCATTGTCTGGAGCAAAATTCCAAAACTACTAAGCACAACACTGGGCCTTTTCTTTCTTTCTCCCTGCACAGGCTCAAAAGGCGTGACATCTAATAAGTTTATCGACAGATGAGACTTCTTTGGTACCTACCTACAGGCTCCAGGCTAGTGAAATCTAGCTGGGACGGTAATAGTTGGAACCCTCTGAGGAGTTAATAAAAGATACAATGTAAGTGCAGACCAGACCAGTGTCTTATGGTCCTTCCTGCTGTCTGTGCTCTGGCAGAGCACTTAACCACAGGTGCACCTGACAAAAACTTACAAGGCATGAAAGCTAACATATTAGAGGCTATATTGCAAAGGTTCACTCACACTGAGTCTGAATAAGGCTGTAGTGGCTTGTGTATTGATCTATAACTTTAGATGTACTGCTTCAGCAATTATTCATATTTGTACAATACAAAAGATTGAAACTTGCTGGGAATAAAAAAACCAAAGGAGCTGTTTGCAAGCCCTTGAGGAAGGGAAACAAATCCCACTTAAGAAGTAGTACAGGTATGGGAAGCTGCTGGGACTAGTTATTCCTGGAATCTCTGAACAACCCCACAACCACAGTGAAGACTGAGCTGTCAGCACATATGGCAAAGTCCTGCATCCCCTACACCATCAGCTATTTGGAATGATAGAAACAAGGCATAATATTGCAACTATTATATTGTCAACCCTTGATGCTTTACCCTGCAGTGTTATCTCTGGAAGTCTCTGGACGTATGATAGGAATATCTACTCAGATTAACATGGCATGACTTCAATATATTACATCTTGTAATCTCAATTCTTTGTCTACACTACATTAAAGAGCCCTTCATTTTCAAAATCATTTTAGAAAAACATTTCAGTATTAAATACCCACATAAGGTATTTAAACTAAACCACACTGTTAATCTAATTGCACTGTTTGCTTAAAATTATCATTAATACATGGTTAATTTAATGCCATTAAGATAAAGAATTTTGAACTAGTTAAAAAAGATAAATTACCAACAAGATATTGCATTTAAAGTACTGCTAAAATAAATATTTGCTTTTTTTCTGCTTGACCTATCTGTTAAATTTTCATTCCTAATTATCATTGTGTTATCTGATGTTGAAGTGACTTAAAAAGAAAAACTATTGCTTTGATTCTGCAAACACGTACATGCCTAACTTACTTACGTGAATGCCTATAGCTCCAGTTCCATTCACATTAGTCAAGTTCAACACATGCATACATTTTTGCTGGAGTAGACACTTCTATATCAACATCATCATCTAATATTTATATTGTGAAAGATCCAAAAAGGCATAATTAAGTTGGACTTCATTGTGCAACGGGCTATACAAACATAAGTGTCCTTACTCCAAAGAGCTTATATTTGTCATATCAGAAAATCCTGATTTGACAAGATCAAAATTGTTTACAGGAGTATACAGAAGGATAGCTCTGAGCAATGGAAAAAATGTATATAACAGTTTCTAAATTTGTCATAATAGTATGTTTTCCTTAGGTAAAGAACCCATGAGAAAATCCTGTAATCAATAAACTTGTAAGCTTGTCTTTGGAGTTTTAAACTTGTCTTTGGAGTTTTATTATTGGTAAGGCATCTATTTTCTCCTGTAATTTTCAGAAAACATTGCTGCATAACTAGAATATATATAAAGTTGGTTGAAAAGAAGTAAGCATGTTCAATTGAACATAATTCTTTAAATCTTGTCAGTATGTCCTAGAACATTCATTTTGTGTTTTTTGTTCGTTTGCATTAGGCCAGGGAAATGGGATGTACAGGATTGGTTATGTTGCCTTTATCAGTAAAGTACAGTACACAATTTTCTGTTTTGGGGAGGTATAAGAACAGTCTAGCAAACTCCAAGTGTAGTTAATGAGCGTACTACATAAAATGCATAGCATTTTCTTATGTTTATTTATCAAACCAAAATTCATCAGACATACAAAAAATAAAATTTGAGTTTATTGTATGCATAATTTTCTCTGGAATTGAAACATAAGAAAAACACATTCAGCTTAGGAACTAATGATTCCCACAAATAATGTTATTTGGTTTTTTAAACCCCTTAAGCAACTTCTAAAATCTTAGGCTATGTCTAGACTGCAGGCTTCTTTCGAAAGAGGCTCTTTCGAAAGCATCTTTCGAAAGAGCCTCTTTCGAAAGAAGCCTGCAGTCTAGACATAGCCTAAGAAAAGAGAGCACCCAGCGAGTCTGGATGCTCTCTTTCGAGGAAGCCCTATTTACATTGAAGAACGCCTTCTTTCGAAAGAGGAACTTTCGAAAGAAGGCGTTCTTCCTCGTGAAACGAGGTTTACCGCCATTGAAAGAAAAGCCGCGTTCTTTCGAAATTATTTCGAAAGAACGCGGCTTGAGTCTGGACGCAGGGGAAGTTTTTTCAGGAAAAGGCTACTTTTCCCGAAAAAACCCCTGAGTCTGGACACAGCCTTAGTTACAACATAACATTAATAGAATGTATCATAGAATCATAGAGCTGGAAGAGACCTCAGGAGGTCATCAAGTCCAGCCCCCTGGCTGGACCAAGCCCAACTAAATCAACCCAGCCAGGGCTTTGTCAAGCCGAGACAAAAAAAGCCTTAGGGATGGAGATTCCACTACCTCCCTAGGTAACCCGTTTCTGTACTTTACCTAGTGAAATAGTTTTTCCTAATATCCCAACCTACACCTCTCCCACTGTAACTTCAGACCATTGCTCCCTGTTCTGCTATCCGTCACTACTGTGAACAGCCTTTCTCCATCCTCTTTAGAACCTCCCTTCAGGAAGTTGAAGGCTGCTATCAATCCCCCCTCACTCTTCTCTTCTGAAGACTAAACAAACCCAGGTCCCTCAGTCTTTCCTCATAGGTCATGTGCTCCAGTCCCCTAATCACTTTGGTCACCCTCCGCTGGACCCTCTCCAACAGGTCCATATCCTTTCTACAGTGGGGGACCCAGAACTGGACACAATACTCCAGGTATGGCCTCACTGGAGCTGAATAAAGGGAATAATCACTTGTCTTGATCTGCTGGCACCCTCCTAACGCACCCTAATATGCCATTAGCCTTCTTGCCTACAAGAGCACACTGTTGACTCATATGCAACATCTCATCCACTGTAATCCTCATGTCCTTTTCTACAGAACTGCTACTTAACAATTCACTCCCCATCCTGTAACGATGTTTGGGATTCTTCCATCCCAAGTGCAGGACTCTATACTTGTCCTTGTTGAACCTCATCAGATTTCTTTTGGCCCAATCCTCTAATTTGTCCAGGTGATTCTGGACCCTATCCCTGCTCTCCAGCATATCTACCTCTCACCCTAGCTTAGTATCATCTGCGAACTAGCTGAGGGTGCAGTCCTTCTCCTCATCCACATCATTAATGAAGATGTTAAACAAAACCCATCCTAGAACCGATTCTTGGGACATTCCACTAGAAACTGACCGCCAATCTGACATCAAGCCGTTGATCATTACCCGTTGGGCCTGGCAGGCTAGCCAGCTTTCTATCCATCTTACAGTCCATTTATCCAATCCATATTCCCTTAACTAGCTGGCAAGAATATTGTGGAAGATCGTATCAAAAGCTTTGCTAAAGTCAAGGTATGTCACATCCACCGACTTTACCATATCCCCAAAGCCAGTTTGGTCAGGCATGACTTGCCCTTTGTGAATCCATGTTGACTAGTCCTGATCACTTTCCCCTCTTCCAAGTGCTTCAGAATGGATTCCTTGAGGATCCCCTCCATGATTTTTCTAGGGACTGAGGTGAGGCTGACTGGTCTGTTGTTCCCTGGATTGTCCTTCTTCCCTTTTTTAAAGATAGGCACTACATTTGCCTTTTTCCGATCATCCGGGATCTCTCCGAATCTCCACAAGTTTTCAAAGATAATGGCCAAAGGCTCCGCAATGACATTTGCAAACTCCCTCAATATCCTTGCATGCATTAAATCCAGGTCCATGGATTTCTGTATGTTTAGCTTTTCTAAATAGTTCCTAACCTGTTCTTTTGCCACCAAGGGCTGTCCACTTCCTTCCCATACTACCTAGTTGCCTAGTGCATTTGTCTGGGAGCTGACCTTGTCCATGAAGACAGAGTCAAAGAAAGCATTGAGTACTTCAGCTTTTCCCACATCATCTGTCACTAGATTATCTCCCTCATCCAGTAAGGGCCCCACACCCTCTCAGTTCACCCTCTTATTGCTAACATGCATGTAGAAACCTCTACTTCCCCTTCTAGCTCCTCCCTGTTTGTGAGCAGCAGGTCAAGCTGAGCATGGCCCCTGGTCTCTTCCTTCAGCACTTTTACCGAGAAGTTATCCCCAACATTCTCCAAAAAATTCCTGGATTGTCTGTATACTGCTATATTCGTCTCCCAACAGATGTCAGAGTGATTAAAGTCGTCCATGAGAACCAGGGCCTGCGATCTGGAAGCTTCTCGCAGTTGTCCAAAGAAAGCTTCGTCCACCTCATCCACCTCATCCGGTGGTCTTTAGCAGACACCAACCACAACATCACCCCTGTTGCTTCCACCTCTAAACATAACCCATAGACTCTCAGCAGTCTTTTCTCCCTCTAAATACTGGAGCTCCGAGCAATCATACTGCTCTCTTATATACAATGCAACTCCTCCTCCTTTCCTGTTCTTCCTGAACAGTTAATACCCTTCGATGACAGTGCTCCAGTCATGCTAGTCATCCCATCAAGTATCCTTTATTCCAATCAAATCATAGTTCTTTGACGGGGCCAAGCCTTCTAATTCTTCCTGTTTGTTTCCCAGGCTTCTCGCATTAGTGTAAAAACACCTTAGATAACCAGTTGATCACCCTACCTTCTCCATCCGAATCTGGGGTCCTCCTTTGTTGCTCACTCCTCCTTGTGGTCCCAGTGTCCAACTTCCTCACTTACCTCAGGACTTTGGTCACCGTCCCCCAAAAAACCTAGTTTAATGCCCTCCTCACTAGATTTGCAAGCCTGCCCACAAAGATGCTCTTTCCACTCTTGGTTAGGTGGATCCCATCTCTTCCTCTCTTCTCAATCCTTGTGCCCAGAACAGAGTCCCATTGTCAAAGAAACCAAAGCCCTCTCTCCAACACCACCTGCGCAACCACGCATTTACTTCCTCAATTCAACGATCCCTACCCAGACCTTTTCTTTCAACTGGAAGGATGGATGAGAACACCAC